TAAATTTTTGCGAAAGTTTATGTTAGTCTAAACGTAAGCGCGGCATGGTCAGTGAGAAAATCCCCAACTTGGGTTTTTGCTGAAATAATTAACTCAAATTTAACTAATGTTTATCTAAACTTTGCAACACGGATGGCCTAAATTTTTCTTCAATAATACAAATATAAAAAAAAATTAAAAATTCATATTCAAAAATATTATAACATTTATTATTCAAACGATGTAGAAGAGAAGTGTATATATACGGCTTATGGAACAAGCTGTTCAGGCAATGGTCTTGAATCTCAGCAACTTGTGGGTTCTATTAGGATTTTTCTTTAAAATAGGAGATAATTAATTATTACAAAACTAGTAAAAAATAACCCTCCTCTATTGCGTGATTATTACGGTGACGAGGTGACCACGTCTAATGCGTCATGTACATCGTATGTAACACGTTCGTTGCCGCGGTGTCATCGTCTATAACGGTGGTTTTATTTTTAACTCAAATTTTTATAGCAGAGTAAAATTATTGTGGTACTGTTTGTAACGAGGCAAATCCAGCCTTCATGCTCGCACTGCTCTCGCTGACGCAACGCGTATGACGTCACACTGGCATAGGCTTACCTTCCTGGAATTGTTTTTCTGTTTTGGCTCCCTGGAAAAAGAGAAGAGGACGTTGCGGCGTCAGACACAGCAGCAACAGCGAAGAGTTAGCACTAGTAGTCGCGCGTGCAACTCTGTTCGGGCAGCAGTGGCGGCTATCGGGTATGAGAGAGAAAGAGAAAAAAATGGGCTGCAGACGTAGGCGTTGCGGTTGCGGTGAGACAAGCTGATCCAGTCTCGAGTCGAGAGCCAACGTGAGCAGAGGTTCGAGCGAAAGTTTTTTTTTGAGCAGAGAGAGAGAGAGAGACAGAAAGAGAAGCCAGGACGAGCAAGAGAAAAAGAGGCTTAGCTGCTGTATCCGCGCTCAGGGTCGGCGGCCACCCAGAAAGAGAGGCAGAGGTTCAGGACGAGAGAAAGAGAGACGACAACCATCAGCCAAGAACCTCCAGGCAGCTCGAGCACCAGCGGGACGCCAACATAACACGAGAACGAGTTGCAAGAAGGCGCGAAATAGTGTGTTTCTCCCCCCTCCCCTTCTTTTTGTTTTTTCGTGGGTCGTGCTAGGGCTCGCGAGCGCCGGTAGGTCATCGGACACGGTCCAGGAGTAGATGATATGGTAGAAAGAACAAGAGAGAAGGAGATAGAGAGAGAGAGAGGGAGAGAGAGAGAGTGTACACGTGTGTAAGGGAGCGAGAGAGAGAGTGTACAAGGGTACGAGAAAATCGCAGGTGCATGCTCGGGAGTGCCGCTGAAAGTGCTCGCGCGTCTCCGTCCAAGGTGTGTAAGGTGGAAGGGTGTAGTCGAGAGGAAGGGAGAAAGAGAGAGTGAGAGAGAAACCCAAGACATAAAACAAAAGGGATAACGGTGAAGAACAGAGAGAAAGAGAGAGGGAGAGAAGCTCGAGTATCGTGACCTAGTGTGCGGCCACCAAAACGGATGAGGAAAAGAGCGTAAGGGGAGAAAGAGAGAGAATATAGTAGAGTCAGGGGAGGGACGTGCTTGTGAGAGTAAGCGTGTGTGGGTGTACGAGTGACAAGAGTCAGGTGTGATAGGGAGGAGGCCCTTCCTGGCCATAGGACCCGAGACGCGCGCTCGTGGCTGGTACAGCGAGGCGTAGCCGCTGAAGTGCCGTCCAATCAAAGCTTTATGTAAATTGGTAGAAGTGAATAAACAAATTCCTTAAAGTAATTGTGCTTCCTCTCCTTATTTATTTCTTTCCCCAGGAAGAGAGAGAGAAAATGCACAAACGCCTCTTTTATTTCAGGAACGGAAATCCGGAGGACGGAAGACTGAGGAGACGTACGAGGCGAGTATCCTCGGCTTCGGTACCTCTCCCCCCTCTTTTTCTTGTTTTTACAGGTAAAGGAGCTTTAGCGTGACATGTTTGTGTTATGTAATATTGTTTATACGATGAATCAAAACGATTTTAGTATTTTTTGAGTCCCTGTTTTTTCTGATAGATTATCTGCACAATAGATTATTTGCCCTACGTCTGCTGTGTAAAGAAAAAGATTTAAATTATACGTAAAATTAAACAATAAATTCTGTAACAAAAAAACTTGTTACCTAAGTCTTGAATAATTCCTAGTCCTGTGGTGTAACACATGTAGGTCATAGCTAATGAAATTTTTTTTCGGTACGTCAACGAAAATTGCCACTCATGTACTAGTTAAGTATCAGAAATTTTTAAATTTGAACAGTTATTGGATTGAGTACGAGGTTTGTTCTGAGTCCTGGCTTAAGTTTTGTTTCGTGAAATCTCAAAATAGCCCCAAACAAATTGATGCAGAACCTCTTATTGGGTAAGGCTTTTTTATGAAAGACTATAGTTAAGGAAACAGAAAAAATAGTTCACGCATTTTGTTATTAACTACTATGGTTTACATACTACATACTATCTTTATGGTCATTTTTTCTACTTTTCTTATAATATGCAACGTAGATATTAATATGACTTGCTTTAGTATACTATAATGGATGTGTTGGTTGCATGCGTAATTACATCACATTTATTTTAGGTATATTACTACCACGTGTCCAGTTACTTCTATCTCATCACTTTTTATTATAATTATTGTTACTATTATTATTATTATTATTGTTACTATTATTATTATTATTATTA